ATCCATCCATCATCCATCCATCCATCCATCCATCCATCCATCCATCCATCCATCCATCCATCCATCCATCCATCATCTTCTGCTTCAGGGTTGTGGGAGCAGCATCTTCACCAGGGAGGCACAGACATCAACATCCACCTCTTCAACTCTTCTAGGATCCCATGGTGTTCACAGACCAACTGACTATTTATTAATTAATATCCTGATGCTGCTCAATAATCCAGGTAGAAAAATCTAAAAAGTTAAGTCTGGTCCTCTGGACATTCACAAAACAAACAATACAGTTTATAATAAATAAACAATAAATGTTTTTTTTGTTTGTTTTGTTTTTTGAATGTCCAGAGGACCAGACTTAACTTTTTTAGATTAATAAGTAATAAATTTATGTTTTTAAATTTAATGAAAGGCAAACCTTTAAAATTTAAGGACAAATTTAACCTAATTGTTTTCAAGTCTTATTGTAAAAGCAGTTTCAAAGATTACAGCACAGTGTGATGTTTTGTAATTTTAACATGAACCTTGTGCATATCTGCAAATAATAAAAGTGAAGATATTTTTAATACATCTTTATTGTAAAAATCTAAACTAAAATGAAAAACACATGGGTTTAAAGCAGCAGGAAGGCAGTAAGGTAGGATTATGAATCAGGTTTATAAGTTACAGCTCATGAAGTACTCCATTAAAACATGACATCTCTTCCACAACATCTTGAGACAAAACCTTCAGGGTGTTCTTCTTCTAATACGTTTAGTGGTGGCTAGTAAGTAACTTAAGGGAGCACTACCGCCACCAGGTGGTAAGACAAGTTGGATTCTAGTCCCCGCCTACAGAGCCGGTCCAGAAGTGTAAATGGAAACACAACGAGACACGAGCCGATCTGAGCTGACCTGATCCGCACTGTGACAGTGGAAAAGGGGCACAAGAAAGACCCCAATGAACCCCTATTGTGAGTAGTGATAGGGCAATCGCCATATGTATCCAGCTTAGCTCAGCTTTATAACTTGAACCCCAAACTCTCGTTTTTTTTAATTGAGAAAGCTCTTCGGATGAGAAGTGAAACGTCTTCAGCTACAAAATACAGTCCAGTTGTTTTGTTTTAACCTTTTTTTTGGATTGTTAGAAAGATAAACACAAATGTATGTGTCTGCAGGTGGAGGATCTGGGTCTAGAGGGGGAGATTTTGCCAGTTTCCTATAGCCATGATGCCTCTAAGAACAGATATCTGTACGTCAGAGGACAACTTCACAGATTGCCTTCAGGAATAAGGTAAATACGTTAAGAAAATGTTTAATATCACATCTGTTTAACAGTAGAAGATAAAGAAAATGGATAAAGCAGATTAGTTTGAACATTTTTGTGTTCCTTGAAAGATTGCATATCGCATGCCACCCATCCCAGACTTTTAACTAAGAATATCTTGTGTTGAAAAATGGCACTGTAAGCGTTTTGGTCCAAATTTTTAAAATAATGTTATGCACACTTTCGTGTGATATCACAAGATATGATACTCAGAGTATCTGTTGTGAACGACTCTTAGCTATTACCACACCAGATTTATCAGTGGTAGCTGAGTAGTCAGTGCCGTGGTGTTGTAATCCTGAGGTTGCAGGTTCAAGCCCAGGTTGCATCAGGAAGGGCATTGTCAAACAAGCTGCCAAATCTTTCATGCGAGTTTACTCACTGTGGTGACCCCTGCAGAAGGGAACAGCCGAAAGGAACTTACATACTTTTTATTTTAATTGGGAAATATACTGAATTATAGGCATTTTTGTTTTGGTTAATGTCAGTAAGCTCTGGTAGCCATGTTGAATTGGATGGATTCAAAGAAGGAATTAGTTGTAGATGCACATCTATTGATTATTATCTGAGAGTTTTATTAAAATTTGTTCAGTGGTTCATGTGATACTTGATAACAAACAGAGTAGAGTCCAGCTGTTAATGCTGAACTTTTAAGAAAAGATCTTTCTCAACAAGTAATACTTGAAGTGTTATGAACGACTGAGCTACTATCACATTGTAAATGTGACTTGGTTATAGACCGTTTTTATTTTTCAAAGTCAGTTGGCTGGAGCATCTATTTGTAATTTAGTTCAGTTTATTTCTATAGCTCAGAGTCCCAACAGAAGTTGTGTCAGGGCACTGTACAAAAACATTTACACACATTATAAAAGCCAGATACTAAAATGTATCTATCTAAGGAAGCAACAGATTGTGTTGAATCTTCACTTCATCACAGTCTCCCATCCTGAACAAGAACAAAGGAGACGGTGGAAAGAAAAAACTCCCTTTTAAAGGAAGAAACCTCCAGCAGAACCAGGCTCAGGATGAGCTGCCATCTGATTTGACCAGCTGGTTTGAGAGGACAGGAAGGAGAGACAAACACAGAATGACAGGTCCAGGTGCACTTTCTATAGGAGAAAAGACAAAAAAATACAAAACACATGTTAAGAAAGAAATGATTACAAATACAAAACAGGTAGAGTCGAGCAAGTACATAGAGCAGCACAGTGAGAAATTATGGTCAGTTTGTCCTCCAGCAGTCTAAGCCTATAGCAGCAGAACTAAGGGACAGCTCAGGAAACCCAAGCTAACCCTAACTATAGGATTTATCAAAAAGGAAAGACTTAAGCCTAAACTTAAAAGTAGACATTATGTAATAATAATAATATTATCCATGCCACATCTTCATTTTGAAAATCATAATCATATCTGAAGCGCGTTAGTGTGAGAAGCTGCAGCAAAGCCGGACAGTCTCATGGACAAAACACCTCCATCACCCTCCACTTTCACCCCCCGCCGAACATATAAACAACCTTCCCCTTCCTTTCTGATGGAGACTCCAAATTATTTGTCAAACGCCAAAAAATCAACAGGAAGAAGAAGAAATAGATGCAGAAGTTGAATGGAGATTTGTGATATTTAGCCTGTTGTTGTTTTATAGTTAGTGTACCATAATGCTTAGACCTTAGAACGCACCTGTCTCTAAGCCATACTTATTAAATATAAGATAAATCATAATTTTGTATATAAATAAGACACTCAAGTTATTAAGTCGTGGGCATCCATTGTTCATAATCTGTGCCCAGTCCGCTCCAGCTGTGTGCAGCTTTCTTGTAGTACAAGAACCAGCCAGCAGATGGTGTTTCACAGAATATAGCTTGCTTTCAGCACATGCTCAGACTGAAAGATTGTCACGAAGCTTCACTGTCTGACTCGTGGTTACAGCCGTTATACCTTCAAAATGAACACAAGAACTATATGCATAATCACTGGACAGAACAGAGCTAAACACCTACGTAACCGAAATTATTTTAAAATTATTTACTGGTTTAACACAGTCTTATCTAGGTCATGTAACCGGAAGTCAAATGGTACCGGTAGAATGCGGTAAATATTCATTAAATTTGTACCATGGATTTTGATTGGTAAACACTTTTGTTAACAACTGCTGTTTTTAAATGTACAAACCGGATTCCAAAAAAGTTGGGACACTAAACAAATTGTGAATAAAAACTGAATGCAATGATGTGGAGATGGCAAATGTCAATATTTTATTAGTAATATAACATAGATGACAGATCAAAAGTTTAATCTGAGTAAATGTAACATTTTAAAGGAAAAATATGTTGATTCAAAATTTCACAGTGTCAACAAATCCCAAAAAAGTTGGGACAAGTAGCAATAAGTGGCTGGAAAAAGGAAAGTCTGCATATAACGAACAGCTGGAAGCCCAATTAACACTAATTAGGTTAATTGACAACATGATTGGGTATAAAAAGAGCTTCTCAGAGTGTCAGTGTCTCTCAGAAGCCAAGATGGTAAGAGGATCACCAATTCCACCATTGTTGCGCAGAAAGATAGTGCAGCAATACCAGAATGGTGTTACCCAGCATAAAA